CAAATATTTAAACAACTTGATTTTTTTATGTTATATACCATTTAAATTTCATATATATATATATATATGTATATATATATATACATACATACATACATACATACATACATACATACATACATACATATATATATATATATATATATATATATATATATATATATATATATCTAGGTTTACTAATTTATTACAAATATATAATACTTCTCACCCCTTAATTCAAAAAATATATGACAAAAACATTGATGATTTTATTATTCTTCTTCCCCGCATTTATTTAACAAACTTAGATTTTCGATCATGTAATTTTAATATTAAAAAAATCATGTTTCTTCTCCTCCAGATTAATTTATATTAATAGAAATATATGATTTTAATTTCTATGACGCATTAATGTGATTATTCCTCTCCTTAGCCCTTTGCACTGATTAAAAATTGACTCTTTTTTCTTGTATTATTAAAAATATGAAAACATAAATTAACAATCATATGATAAGAAATATAAATTTTACAATACATTAAAAATATAATGATTATTCTCCCTCGCATTATTTCAAAAATTATGTGAACACAAAAAAACATTAACAATTCTATGATTTTAATGAAAATTTTACAAAAAGTATTTCACAATTTTTACTCATTTTTTGTTTCCTTTTATAAATATAAAATCATTTAAGTGTGCGAAAGTATTTTGGTCAATACATAGTGCTATATAAAATACAAAGAGTTGCAATTTAAAAATTTTATTTCTCTTTGATGTTGTAGCTGAGCCTAAATCTTAGTCACTTCTGCACATTAGATCTTCTTCGTACTTCTCCTTAAATTATTGATTATCCTTGTATCTAAATTTTAATTGTCACAAATCTTCACACATTTCTCAGCCTTCAAATCTTAATTTTCCTTATAGAAATATTTTTTGTGAAAGTACATGCTATATCGCTTCATCTCTAAGAATATCATTTTGTTAAATTTCTTTGTATGATTGCGAAAATGAAGAAAAGAAAATCGAGTCATACTTCATCCGTCTTTTTTATTTTCATGCATCAATATAGTGAATATCACCCAATATGAATTTATAAATGTTAAGTTACATCTAGGTTAAAATGGTAAGTTACAGTGTAAACTTTCTTTGATTAAAATAATTGGTCAAATTAGCAAGATAAAGTACAAAAGTCAAGTCTTTCTTTGATTAAAATAANCTTCACACATTTCTCAGCCTTCAAATCTTAATTTTCCTTATAGAAATATTTTTTGTGAAAGTACATGCTATATCGCTTCATCTCTAAGAATATCATTTTGTTAAATTTCTTTGTATGATTGCGAAAATGAAGAAAAGAAAATCGAGTCATACTTCATCCGTCTTTTTTATTTTCATGCATCAATATAGTGAATATCACCCAATATGAATTTATAAATGTTAAGTTACATCTAGGTTAAAATGGTAAGTTACAGTGTAAACTTTCTTTGATTAAAATAATTGGTCAAATTAGCAAGATAAAGTACAAAAGTCAAGTCTTTCTTTGATTAAAATAATTGGTCAAATTAGCAAGATAAAGTACAAAACTTTCTTTGATTAAAATAATTGGTCAAATTAGCAAGATAAGTTACAGTGTAAACTTTCCTTGATTAAACACTTGATCATTTAAAAAAATAATCGAGTCATATCTTAATACATAGAATTTTAATATAGGTATTAAGAAGTATTTATTATTTTACATCAATATTTAAATAAATAGAATAAAACTAGCTTCCCTTAATCATAACACAAAGAAATATGAAATTTTTTTCAAGATGAAGAGAGTAGTTTATATATTCATTGAAAGTAGTATTATAAATGAAATGAAAAAATAAAAATTTAAAACAATATTCTAATGAAAAATAAATATCTCTCTTTCTTAATTAAATGTACTCGATGATAATAAAATCATAAATAATGTTAGAATAATATAATAAGTCCCAACAATATATTTTGTTTTAATCATTTGTATTTTATAATATAATAAAAATAGGTTTAAATATGTTTTTATACCATATAAAATAAGAAATTTTTGTTTTTAGTCCCTGTAATATATTTTTTGATAAAGTCATCCCTACAAAATATTTTAATTTGAAAATAGTCCTTAATGTAATTAGCACTTCTAATTACATGAGATAGTACATTTATTTCACACTCAACATATTAGTCATGTATTTCTAATTACATCATTGTGCCTTCTAAACCCTAAATTGTGTACTTATTCATATTACATATATCCGGTTCTCAAATTTCTTACGAATATAATATAATCAAAATTTGAAAATTGGAAATGCAATTTGATAAAAGACACAATTATTGGCATCAAAATTGTGTATGAAGTAATTGCGAATCTAAAACTAACCTATTGAGCACAAAATAAATATGTTATGTCAACAACTTAAAAGTCTTTATTACGTATAAAGATCATTATCAAAATAATTTTTTTGTAAGGATGACTTAAAAAAAATTATATTTCAGGGGCCAAAAACAAAATTCACCTATTTTAAGGGACTAAAAATATATTTATCCCTTAAAAATATCATAATAAATAATAATAAAATAAAATATCTATAAATTAAATCATAAATCATTTAAGAACTATTAGCCATAATTTTTTAGTAATTATATCAAACCATGAAATTAATATAATCAAATTACCAAATAATATCTAATATATTTTACCTGCTTTAACAATTTATTTTCTAATCTTCTCATGTTTTATAAAGTTTAATTGTAGTTGTAAAATAAGTTTTTTGTTTATTAACTTACATGAGTATTTTAATAAATATAATCAAACTGACTTCTTCGATTTAAATATATCATAAAAAATATGAAATTTATTTAGAAGTGAAGAAATATGTTATTAATTACTTAGATCTATATCATTATCAATTTTTTTGTGTATGCAGTTAGTTAAAAATTTGATTCATAAAAAATGCTAGTCTGGAAATGGTAAGTGATAATGCTAATTTTATATTTTTACTAATGTAACCCACATAAGCTTGACACTTGGCGACTTTCTAGCAAACGGAGTCTCAAACATTATATTATTTATAACTAAAAAGAAATTTGTATACAATCCTTTTTAATTATGAAATATTATAAAAAGTTAAGTGAATTGTAACAAAAAGCACCCTAGTTTGGATGGTTAGTAACTCAACTAAATGACTAAGAGATCTTGGGTTCAAACCTTGTGATGGTATGCTTTTGGAAAAAAATTGCAAAAAAAATAAAAAAACTGGTCCGACCGGTTCGCTCGGCCGGTATGTCTAAAAAGGGTGACACATCAGCTCTGCCACATGTCGTGCTTTAGGTCTGCCAAATGTCACGTTCTTATAGTTCGGAGTCTCTTTTATATATATAAAGGATTTCTTATTTTTTCTAAATAGATTCAATAACATAAGATAATGCAATGACTCTAAAATCACAAATATATGAATATATTATAATATATGTTTAATACTTTAATATGATGAAATACATGTTTTAAAAAAGAATAAAGCTATGATACACCAAAATGATATACTCCATTTGTATCCTTTAATAAATGTTTGTAACTTTTATTTTGTATTTGGAATACTAATTTGCAAATTTCTGCAAAAAATACTAATTAATAAATAAAATTATTTAATAAAATCACAAATTATTAAACGAATGAAGCATCAAATTTTAATGCCAAACTTAATAAACTTGAAATTAGATGAGGACAGGCTAGCAAGTACACCGTACAGTCCTTTAATGTACCCCCCATTATAATCATTAATTATTAGTACTCCATTTCTCCTGGTAATTAATGAAGAGGAGCTGTAATAAGAAACTTCCATAACACGGAGAAACTAAATGCAATGTACTGTATGTGCTATACATTTTTTTTTCTGAAAAAAAAATACCCCACAACAAATTAATTATGGGGACAAAAGAGTAATGTTCATTCTGACTAATGATTAAAACTAGGGCCGGGTACGGAGCAAGTACCGAATCGATTCAGAAGTTCTTCCAAAAAATGAAAGTGCTCATGCAATTGAACCGTACTGAATCGAACAATCAGTTCGGAATTTGGAAATGGTACAAAGTGATTTCACATATCAAAAAATTCGAACGGAACAATTGGACATATATCATAATTAATATATTATTATTATTATTATTATATTCTCTCATCGAACATTCAAGTTTTATTATATGTAAATTATATTTTTATTCAAGTTTTAATTCTTTGTAGATAAATCTAAAACTATTAACATGCATTTGAAGTGCTATTTTGATATAATTCGTTCTTTTTAGTGTGTGAAATAAAAATTAAGTTTAACAAATGTTATTGCATTTAAAATATTTTTTTTTGTTTTTTTATGTTTCCTTATTTAAATGTACTTCTGATTTTCAAAAATAAAGAGTTTTATTACATTTTAAAATGTAAATTAGGTACGTATATATTCATCTTAATTTGTACTAAAATCAGTATCAAAATACCTCGTACCACCCCGAACTGATATTTCAAAATCGAGATTGGGATTTGTACAACGTAAGTTTTCATACCAAATCAAAATATTTTGTACAGTATCGATACGACTTAAATAAAGTACCATGTTCACCCCAAATTAAAATATTGTTAGACAGAATCACATAGATGATCTAAGAACATGTCTCATCTATAAATTTAATTTAATTTTTCATGTAGGATTATAAAATATGGGACCCTTATCTTCATTGAAAGTTTCCATTTTAAAGTTTTTGAATAAACAATATAAATCACCCTAAATAGGACTAAAACATAAAAAAAATATCAAAATAGGACTTTCATATTTTTTCCGAAATAGGATTTCGCACTGTGGTAATGTGACACTATACATGTGCACATTACTATTTTTTTGGTAATGTAAATAACCATGTTTGGTAACGTAAATGCATTTTAAGTCCTATTTCGGAAATAAAAACATGGTAATTGATATGGCAAATTCCTAACCGAATGAACAAAAAAATTCAAGAAATGAAGGAACTTTCATTATATTTCTGCAACTCATACATTATCTTTCCCCCTCAATTCTCATGGGGATACTACAATATTAACTCTAAAAAAAACAAAGGAAAAAAAAGTTTACATCTTTTATGCCATTAGGTGACACAAACTATGTATGTCAGAATTGAAAGAACAGAGAGAAAAAAAAGAATAAAAGAATTCCTTTACATGAAAAAGTGAGGATTAAAGTGTCATTTTTCCCATTCACAAACTAAAAGTAATGAACTTTAGCAGCAATTATGAGGTCATTATCAGTGTGTCTTTAGACAGTGGAGATGAATGCCTTCTTGAGAGGCAGCTGAGTTTGTGAGACACATTCTTCCTGTTTCCCATAGGAGATAAGCTGCAAGAGGCTACCCGGTTAAGGGCACCTGCCCTTAACCGGTTAGCACTCTTAGGGGACAGCGCGACTTCTCCCAACGCGTGGGACTGGAGCTGCGAAGGGTAGTCCCTCACGCATCCGATCCTCGGGCCCACCCCGCTGCTCCATTTGCAGGAGAGCTGGTTTCCTAGCTGGTACGATTTTGCCCCTTTATGGGAGTTGATCCGACGCAAGATTGATTCTTCAGGAACCGTTGTTCGCTTTTCTTCTTCTTCTTCTTCTCCTGTCGATTCGTACCCATTCGGTGGAGATTTACTATTTAATCTCTCCAAGAAGTCACTTTTGTCTGGGATTTCGAGTTCAGTCAACTTCGGATCCTCTAGTGTTGCAGAAATTTCGGTTTTTATTGGCTCGTTTTCGGGAAGATCGTCTTCCTCGGATGAGTTGTTTGAGGAGTATACGCCACTCTTCTCGCCGCTTGATTCTTGTTCTTCTTCCTCAGTGCATTCGAGCTGAAATGACACAAAATCATTTTTTTCTTAGTCAAAACCTTGTAGTTGGTTGTCACATTTTACTGGTCAGTTATTGTTGTTGTTACTGTATATAAGTGAGTAAACGAGCTTTGGAGATTATTTTTTTCGTACCTTAATGTTTGTGAGATCAATGTCGTTCTCCTTGAGAAACGAGATGAAATCTTGGAAATTTTCTGGCGTCGGGCGATAGTGTCCGCTGTGGGGCCAAACAGCCTATTTGGGGTACAACAAGATAAACAAACCCATAATTAGTTCAAGTTCAAAGATACTATCAATATCAAGAAACCAGCTCAATCAAAAGTTCAAACTTGCGATTTTGACTTCAGAAAGCTGAGGATTTTTACTAATACTGTACCTTCAAGATTCCATTCTCGACAACTATCCTCCCCGCGGCCAATGTGGCCCCTCCAGCCAAGAAACTCGAGTGTTGAAACGCGCCTTTCGTCTTCTTCCCGATATATAATGTTTTGGAAGTACTAAGTACAAATATCCACTTGACACCTTTTAAATCATCTGTGTCAACAAGTTCCCTAGTTTTCTTGTACATGAGCTTCCCTTCTTCCACTTCTACCTCGTACGCCTTTCGTTCCATCTGCGTTAATAAAAATAAATATAAAAGTCAGCGTTTTTTTTATGCGTCCAAAGAGAGAAAGCGGGTAAAGTTATTCAAGATTCTATTTAATCTTCTCTTGTACACATACCGGCCCGAGGTATTTAATGCACTGTTGCTGAAGTTTCCCCCGAGGGCATTTATCGACGAGGTTAACGTCCTTCCCCTCGCCTATATCCAGCCTGCACCGAAGGGCAAAATGGGGAAACGCATTTAATGGTCTTTTCTAATGAATGAAATCACAAATGGTAGAATGTATCAAGAAATGTACCAGTAGAAGAAGGGCTCATTGCTTTGAGAATGCAGCCACTGCACATAATAGATGTGGAGGTTGTGTCCGTAGCGATGTCTCGGATCGATCTGTTTTCACACGATAAAATTTGAGTGAGAAATATGATTCTTTTTATGTCTCGGATCGATCTATTTACGCGCAATGAAATTCGAGTGGGATTTTTTGGACCTACAATCGCAAACTTAAGTGATAATGACTCTTTTACCCCTGAGATGCAAAAAAAAAAGTACTTACTGCTTCAAGCCAGTGTTGTAAGGCAAGCTTTTGGGCTTTTCCATTCTTTGACAACCCTTTACCTACCTGCATTGGTCAAACCAACTTATTACTCCTTTTGACAAGCTAAGAGTCATAATCATGTTTAGCTGATGTGGGCAAGAATTATTTACCTTGGCAGCCCGGGTGCGGGCCCGGGACCAGCGGGAGCTGGCAGACTCGTGTTTTTCCATATGGAAAAACGAGATCGAGCTGTGCTTCAGCTCGGCAAAGTCCAAGAGCTTCCACCAGCTGTGCTCGATCAGGACTGCACAGTCTGCCAGCTTCCTCCTGGTCCTGAAGCTCTTGTACACTTTTTGCAGCTTTATTGCTGCCGCCTCGTGCTCGGGGTTGTCGGTACACGTAAAAGACTCTTTTACCCCTGTCCCCTTCGCCACATTGCCGTCTCGGATCATGAATCCGATCGAACCGGACCGAACCGGTTTCGGGATTGGTGGTTCTGGGTTGTGGGCATTGAAGCTAACAGACCTAAATTCAGTGATCTCCTCATTTTTCCCAAAGTCTATTGACTTAACAATGACTGATTCAAGCCCATTCTCTGGGTCACTGAATGCTGCAAGTGGGCATGAAAATGACAGCCCCATACCAGAAGACCCTGCAAAACACAAAGATTTTGATTAAAAATCCAATCTTTTTTGAAACCTGTTCAAAATCATGGTCTCAAAACACCCACTATTGGCCCAAAATGACAATTGTGAAGGAGAGAAATGCCAAGAAACTCAAACCCAGAAAAAAAACATTCAAGAATCAAGAATGCCCATTTGTTCAAAACCCAGTGATTTTGATGAAAAGCCAACAAGGAATGGAAATGGGGGTAAAATAGAAATCAAGAAAAGATGAAAGATTTACCCTTTTTGAAGAAAGATTCAACAAACGGAGGGTAGGATTTATAATAGGGAATTAGGGAGAGTGAAGGGAAAGCAAAGACTAAATATAGAGCAATTGGTGTACTCTGTGCTGTAATATTTGTACTCTCTGCGTACAACTGAGCGTGTAAAGGTTAGCTGTAGGTTAGGATATTTACAGAGGGAGATATATAGCCGAGTATATATATATATATATATATATATATATATATATATATATATATATATATATATATATATATATATATAT